GGGGACCAAAGCATTCAAACATTCAAGCATTCAAACAATTCTCTGTACTGGTGTCTTCCCCCCCTCCCTCCCCGACACCGCATTTCATCTTGTAATAGCTTTCATCATCATCAATATAATCATCAGCTTTCATAATCAATTGCTCATTTTCCGCTGCTCAATTGCTCACGNNNTAATTATAGAGTAGTTTTACTTCATTCATTTTCAGTGTGCTTCTACAGCTTTCTTAGGTCAACTCATGTAACTTTGGTTTATTTTTTTTAAGCATTATTAAGGGGGACCAAAGCATTCAAACATTCAAGCATTCAAACAATTCTCTGTACTGGTGTCTTCCCCCCCTCCCTCCCCGACACCGCATTTCATCTTGTAATAGCTTTCATCATCATCAATATAATCATCAGCTTTCATAATCAATTGCTCATTTTCCGCTGTTCAATTGCTCACGACATTGGTTTTCCCGTACGGCACTGACAATCTAGTCTAGCGTACGGCGAGGGCCTTAGTTGGCGCATAGCAACCGCACTGACATCGATTGCTTAGCCTTACGTCGCCCTTCCAAGGAACTTCAGGAAGGCGCCGCGTAACAGGTGTGTAACATTTGATATTGTTTCTCCGTTTTTCCTATTAGGTCACTAACATGTTCCTTCTACCACAGACTATGCATAGATATCACATTCTTGTAATTCTCATATACAAAGGAGAAACAGAGAAGAGAGCAGTAAAAAATATATTAAAGCTTCTGCTCCAATACCCCTAAGATGCTTCAGGAATCAGGATAAATGAGCAAACAAAACAAATGGAAATGTATTCTCGACTTGACTAAGTCCTGATTGAAATCCGAAATTAGTGGTTGCTACTCCCCTATATCCAATCTAAGGCTTTCTAAATATTGACAGTGTACAATGAGATTCACACTGCTTAAATCTTGAGAGCCTCAAATCTTTGTTCTGATACTCTGAACAGCAGGGGCAGCTCAACGGTATTTGTGGCCTAAAGCCAAAACATATTAAAAGGCCCTTTAATTTCTTTTGTAAAATTCGTATAATAATGAGATACAAAGCAAACTCCTAGGACTTTATTTTGGCCTAGTGGTAAGTGTACAATGCGTGATGTGTAAATTAGGAGCACGCCACAGTTTGGAACTCTATCGTAAATGAAAATATGTCATTAATTAAGTGGAGGAAGGTAGAGGGGGCACATCGATAATCTGTCGACTTTCAAACCTTGCACCCCATTGCACTTGGGGATTTCTCTCAAAAAGATGAACCAAAAAAATCCTTTCTAATGGATGGATCAATAAAATATGGTAAAAAGAAATAACCAATACATGAGTTTTCTTTTAGGAGAAAAAAATTAGATTTGATAACGAAGGTAAATACGTTATTTAATTAAATGAGAGAAATTTATCGTTATTTATCACTCAACTATATAAATTTAATTAAAAGTTTTAAGATATTTTATTAATAATAATTACATAAAATATATGTGACACGTAGTAGTACTTAAAATTGGGGCCCTTAATATTATAGGGGCCTAAGGCAATGGCTTCACTTGCCTTACTCTTAGGCCGCCCCTGCTGAATAGTCAAAGTCGGAGATATGTACTGATCACGCCCAACTATGCCTTATAAAAAGGACTAAGCGGTTGTTGTAAAAATATTTCGGCTAATAAGTCCGGAGTCGAATCCCACAGAGAACTAAGGCTTAGCTACAGTTGTTCAATATTGCAAAGAAACACAAGTTCAAATAATTTTCTAGTTATAAAGATTTGATTTTTATTTCTACTAATTAACTAGCAAATAGTATAAAGCAATACAATTATCAACTAACATGGATGAAATTCTATACAAGACTAAGGAGGTCTAGAGTTGTATTTTCCCCTATTGTCGGAATCTTTTTCGCTATGTTTTCTACAAATTTTCCTAAGTCTTCTCTATCGACCATGAGCACTCTAACTGTCGTAACTCTCTCCCGAGTAATTACCACAATTTACAAGACATATTCTCTCGAATTACGCTAGCTGGCATTAAGTACATCTCACTCAGATCGCACCAAGGTTTCGTTATCCCTAAACCCACCTTTAAACCTCTGTATTGATCCCTCATATACGTTTAGGAGTGATGTTGTTCAACAACTACCTAAATATGCACTCTCTCCCGAGTAATACATACTAAATAGGTACAGCTAATTGAGAGCCCTTCAATCAACCACAAGAATAATATAGTTGAACAAATAGAGAAAATACTACGGCAAATCTATATTAACGTAACAAGAAAATCATCCTTCAATAGGTTCCATCAAAACCCTAGATTAGAAAGTTGGCTACTCATACTCATAGCAACAATATCCCAAATATTTTGCATAATTAAAATAGAGTAAAGATGAAAAGATGTAGAAATAATGATTTTAACTTCAAGGGGTGATTCCACCAGCTCTTCTTGCCTCTAGCTGCCCAAAAACGTGGCTGCTGATAGAAACCCCCTTCCAAGTGGTGTTTTAGGTCTATTTATATGTGTAGAAGAAACCCTAAACGTGTGGCCCGGGTCCTAGTCAAACCCGGAACGAATTAAGTCTTCAAAACTCGGATTGGACCTAGCGTCAGGCGTGGCGTCGCCAGCCTAACACCTGGAATTTGGCTGGCCTCGCCAGGCTAAAGCCTAGTCCAGCCTGGCCTTAGGCTGGCCTCGCCAGGCTAAAGCCTGGTCTCTCCTTTTCATTATTTTCGAGCACACTTTCAACATTTAAGTATCCCTTTTGCTCTACTTTCATCTCCAATTCACCTACACATAAAATAGACTCCTTTATGCACAAATAAAGTGTAATTTATCATTAAAGCATGTAAAATGCAAGGCACATAATGTATGAAATTATGGAATTATAGACACACATCATGTACACTAGAGTAAATATTTATTCAATTTCAGGTACCAATACACATTGTGTAGTTGGTCTTTGTGTCTCATAAACCCTACTAATCTAGTTTCACTATTACCATGCAACTTACGTATATATAATTTTGACCGTTCACCACTCAATCTTCATTCCCTCCTAGGGATCGGACAAAGGAAAAATTCATGACATTGCCTTCTAGTTTTGCATCATATCCCACCTTGTGAATGAAATTGTAACAATATGTACTGCTTATTCTGTTCCCATTTTCTATACTTGCTTACATTTTTCACTTCAATTTGTTAACAGAAAAGCTTTTCACTTTGCCTATCAAAGAGTGTAAATTTCCAAACTTATATCTCCGTAATTCGAAAATGACATTCAGAAACGTACCTTCTATTGATTTAAGTGACTTTTGCAGACAGTCATAATCAATTTCTTTCAGAATGACTTGTACAGAACTGAGTATAAGAGCTGTGGCAATACCAGAGCCCATTAAACCACCACCTATAACAGCAACCTTCTCTATCTTCTGGTGTTTAAGCTGACAATCAGTAATGCATGGTACCTGTACACCGTAGAACTTCCAGTTACTTCAAAGAATGACCAAGTAAAACAACGTGTGGTAGTAGTTCTTAAATGGGTGTGGCCTACCAACATTAAGATGCTAACGGCATTTGTGGGATGTATAATCAAGAGTTGCATGCAATATATAGTACTTTTTAGAAGACAAACAAGTGTACATATCTGTAAAAGTCAGTCACTTTTGGAAGATGCATATACACTTACTGCTTGTTTAGACGGTTGTTACATATCGTTTCATAATGTATTGCATTGTATTGTACTGTATTGTTTGATGAATACAATATTTGGATAGATTGTATCGTTTGTCATCGTTTCATGATATCGCGTACCAGCAATATGAAGAATAAACATGCAATATTATAATGAAAAATTATGATACGGTGTAGAATTATTATATAAAAAGATAGGAAAGAGGATAAAATAAAATAATTTAACAATAATGAAGGGCGAGATGAGAGAAAAAGACTAGGTAACGACGCGATTACATCAAATCAGTCGTTACATAAAGTGGCATATTTCGTTGTTACGTAACGATAGATTTAACGATACGATACAATAAAATTTAAGTAACAATCAAAACAAACATCATAATTAAAGTGACAATACGATACAATACAATAGGTAACAACCATCCAAACAAGCTGTTAACCTCCAGCCTCTAAATACAATGAATTTATTAAAAAAGTTACCCTCTGTAGAAATTAATGGAATAAATTTAGCAACTAAATAAATTTCAATTTATGTCCTGTACATAGGACTTCCCTTTCTCTTAAATTTTGAGCAGGTTAATTAGAGTTCTAAAGAGCATATATATTAGGTGAGTCAACTCTAACCATGAAATTGCAGTGCTTATACATTGTACCTTTGATGTTGCTCGTTCAGCAAAATATACATGAAGCAGAGCTCTAGCAGATTTTGAGAGGACTAATTCTCTTAAAACCTTGTCCTCCTACAAATAGCAGCAACTCATTAAGTCGATAAATGACAAAATAAACCAGGGAATCTCACAATAAATGTTCGAAAGACAATCAAACTAACTACAAAAAAATAGTAGAGACTGAAAATACAAGGACCTCATGTAGAAAATACATAAACCTGCACTTGCATATTTTCACAAAAAAATTTAGCATGAGAATTACAGAACTTTATGGTGTGGCTTATATAAGCTTCACCTTCAAAACTCCAGCATAACCTCCAGAAATGATGCCCTCTTCAATCACATCGAGGCAGGCTTTATAATGAGGCATACTTGGAGATGTCTTCAAAATCTTTTGCCTAGCAGTTTCCAGGATAGCAGATGACTCGCGTATAGGTTCAATTTTATCTGTCCTTTGAAGTGTATTAAGACGGGTTTGCCGTCCTTCTGCAATATCTAATGCCCAGAGACGAGAAACTGTTAAGAGGTCTTCGGAAGATACAGCATCATTGATAAGTCCCAAGTCCTTCCCTTCTTCAGAGGTAATGATCTTGGATGACTGTCACGTGGTAATAACCAGTTTTAGCAAGAAGATAGGTGGAAAGGGAAAAGGACAACACCCAAGCGTTTAGACAATCTGTTAACTCCACTAAATAAGTTAATCAGTTCAAACATTAACTAAATGTTACAAGAAAAAGCTCTGTAAGAATGGAGTATCTCTTTTACCAATTTCAACAGAAGTATATCAGCATCAATCCATTGATATTGTATTTATTATTCGGTCATTTAACACAGACTGTGATCCTTAAATTGAAGAAATTCTCATCTAATAGAGAGAAGTCCATGCATCTCACGAGGAACCTCGCTGCATTGGACTAATCAATTAATCAACAGAAACCATCTCCGCTTGGAAATGTATACGATATGATAGGTACCTTTAAGCAAGAGAGAATCTGGCTTACCATCAACATATCAACGGCCTTTGATGTCCCAACAAGCCTTGGAAGACGCTGAGTGCCTTCGAACATATACATGACTTCATCAGGAAAATCAATGCATAATGGAACCGACAGCAAGCACTCAATTAACAAACACCAATTTCAAGAAGCAAGACATCATTACCTCCACAACCAGGAATAATTCCAAGCTTAAGTTCAGGTAGACCAAGCTCAGCCCTCGGCGTTGCAATTCTAGCACTGCACCCCTAGAAAAGATCAATGATATAAGAGTATCAGCCTTAAAACTGAATGCTACTAAAGTGTAAAACCATGAAGTTGAACAATACAATTTGAAAAAAATAACAAACCATGGCCAACTCCAAGCCACCACCAAGGGCAAATCCTTGAATAGCAGCAACAGAAGGCTTCTTCCCATCTACAATAACCCAACATCAGGACAAATAAGTTATTGCAGAATATAACTATGTCGGTATGGAAAAAATAGGCAAATATCTTAGAAGGCACTAGTGATTATGATGTGTTAATACTTTCTATTATGTCAATCACAAGATCAACTGATGCATCCGGTAGAAGTGAGATATCCCCTGACATATCAAGCAACAAGATGGTCATTTTCAATTTAGAGCCTTATCATAAATTAGTACAAGAAAGTCTGAGTGACGATGGTACCGTTCTTTTGAACATTCTGAACTAGGTTGATGTCAAGACCACCACAGAATTTACCATCCCCTACAATGTTGGAAGAGAAATTTAATTTTCCAAGAGAGTTGCAAACCATAAAATCTACTAATACTGCTGAAATAGCGTATGCCACTAAAATTGTGTGCTTTGCCCAAATTAAAGATCTTGTTCTCAGAATGTACATAGTATAACACAATATTATCAATTTGGTCCAATGCATTAATTAAAAAACAACAGAAGATGTCCAAAAGTTGCTTCTTGAAGAAAAACTTTACCTTCAAACTTGGAGAATTGCTCCTGTTCACGAGTCAGATACCTATTTTTAAGTGAATAGAATCTTCATAATTTGTAACTGACCCTCACAACATGAATGATATATTTTTCCTTCTTTTACTACAAGCATTATCTCTTTAATTCACTTCTTCCTTTGTTAATACCAAGGAAGAACCAAAAACACCATCATAATGATTTACGTAATAATTATTGAATTTGTAAAAATCTTTTGATTTAGCAAATTATGATTCCTGTGAAAAGAAAATAAGCTGGTAATTCACTACTATTGAAGGGTGATAAGTTACAGAAAATTGTCACCACCTTATGCTAGCTGCACAACATTTTATCCAATTCCCATATTTGTCAAAAGTTTCAAGAACTTTTTCATTATCCGCTCTTGATCTTTTACCAGAGTGTAAGTTCCAGGGGCGGAGGCAAAACACCAGCTACGAGTTCGGCCGAACCAATAGCTTTTTCTCAATGGATGAGTAGCAAAACATGATCTGTGGTTGAAGGTAAAGTTTTTCAATGGATTTGAGTTCAATGGATGAGTTCGAAAGACAGCCATAGAACTTTACCTTCACAAATCGAATAGAGTTTGTGAACAACTAACAATATAGGTATAGCAAATATAACATAAATTCTACCCAGTTTGTATGATTTTGTGCTTGTTTAATTATTCACCAAACTCTACTAGATTGGCTTGACTTTGCATTATCTACAATTGACTTATCTGTTAAATTGTTCATCAAAGTTTACCGATTAGCATAATTTTTTTGTTTTGTTCAACAAAGTATTCTTCGAAATTACAATTTTAATTTCAATCAAACCACCTCAAAAATGCTCAAAATAATTTTAAATTTGAAATAAAACCTCTAAATATCGGTAAAAATGATCCTCAATCACCAATTTAGTCAAATAACATCAAATCAAAAAGATTCATTTTGCCTTCTTCAATACTTTCTAAGGAACAATTTGGAGTTTTGAGATTTTTAAAGTAAATCGCTAAATCGGTGTTTGAAACAAAAATATATGCACAAATTATAAATATTAAAATAATTTTAAGATTAATCGATCATTGACTTCCAATTTCTACCCTCAAATAGGAATTTAAAGCTTTTAATATTGAAGAATGATAAATGACTAAAAATGCACGTTTTTAGTATAGTTTCATATCATTGTTTGTGAGTTGCTGGAGATTAAATGTTTATAAACATAAAATATGCTCATTACATGTTTATTGTGTGTAAGAATGAGTTTGGATGGAAGTTGGCGAAAATTGGATGATTTAATGCAAAAAGAAGTTGAGAGGCAAGAGCTGGAAGCGTGCCACAATTGGTGCATTGCATGAAAGGTAGGCGTGAAATGACCTAGGAAATGAATCAAAACCAGTGAAGTATGACACTTTGGCACTGGACCTGGCATGGAAAGAAACAAAGAAGAAAAAAATATTTGAGAGCGTGCCTAGGGGTCGTGTGTTGCACCAACCCCCCAGCACGCGACTCAACTTTTTCCTTTGCGAATTAGGAGAGATCAAGGACGCCCCACATCAATCCTAGTTGATATAAATACATCATAAAACATCCTTTTGAAGGGAGAGACACTACTTTAGGGGTTAGATAACACCGGAGGCGAGAATACGCTAAGAGAAAGGAGGAAGATTCAACCACAAGTTTTTTCTTTCTTCTTGCTATTTTTCATTGTTGGTTATGATTTTTAGTATTGTAATTTTACATACTATTATGAGTAGCTAATTTATTATCTAGAGTTTTGATGGAGCCTTTTGTAGTATGAATTCTTGTTACGTTTTAATATAATTTAGCTTTTGAATTTCTCTATTTGTTTAACTACGTGCTTATTTCAGTTGATTGAATGGCCATCGATTGACTGTGCCTATTTATTATATATTGCTTGAGAAAGTGTACATATTTAGGTAGTTGTTGAATAACGTCACTCCTAACGTATGCGAGAACTCAATATAGCCGGTTTAAAAGTGGGATTAGAGATAACAAAGCTTTGACATGATCATAGTGAGCGGTGAAAAAGTACGAGCTAGTGTAATTCGAGAGAATATGACTAGTAAATTATTGTAGTTGCTCAAGAGAGAATTACGATGAGTCGAGTGCTCATGATCAGTAGAGAATATTTAGGCGAAATTGTGGGAGACATAGCGGGAATGGTTCCGACAATTGGGGAAATTATAACTCTAGGCCTCCTTAATCTTGTATCCAACCCTTAGTATCTTTAGTTGTTAATTTACTATTTTAATTTATTAGTTAATTAGTTAGATATAAGAATCTTAATCTTTATAACTTAGAAATTTATTCGAGCTTGTCTTCTTAGTGATATTGAGCAATTATAGTAAAACCTTAGTTCTCTGTGGGATTCGACTCTGGACTGTTAGACCGGATTATATTTGCAGCGTCCTCTTATCCTTTTTAGGACTAGAGTTGGGCGAGATCAAATTTTGGCACCATTGCCGGAGAACTAACTGTGTAGTTATAGCTGTATATATTGCTAGTTTTCAAGTTTGAACTTTTATTTTATTTTGTTTTTTTAATTTAATTTTATTTTAGTTGTTGAATTGAGAAACATGACATCTTGGAATGATGGTAGTTTAGGTGTTCATAATTCTACTTTTGACCTTCATATATATTATGAAGGAAACCAACCGTGGCAGAATTATCAAAATATTCCCGAGAGCAAGTTATGTGCACATACTCAATCTTATGTATGGAATGTGTGTGATATGTGTGGTGATCAAGATAGTCACTTTTATGGTTGTGCTTATATATCTTATCTTCCCTCAACCCTTACTATGACGATTCTACTTTTTCTTGTGAAGTTAATAGAATAAAGAACCCGAGGATGATGACCTGAAAGAGATAAAAAAATATGCTAAGGTGCCTTGTGGAAAACAATAATGACACACAACTGCGGATACAAAGGCAAGAGGCAACTATTTGCAACTTGGAGGCTCAAGTGAGCCAACTAGTTGAAGCTTCTAATGCTCAACAAGCTAATATTATGGATAGTAGGTAGGAGCAGTGTGCATTAGAGACATAAATTAAGGTGCTAATGGAGGGGTCCAGAGTAGAACACCAACAATATATCCAACAAGAATTTAAGGATGCCGATGTTGAAGAAATAATACTAGAGTCAGCCAAGGACGTTGAGGACACAAATTTAGTTGATTCTAGTATAATTTGTATCGAGGAGGCTGAAAATCTTAAAGTTCAAGTATTTGAGCATGTTGGACCTCATTCTAAATACTTCTCTAAATTGTGTTCAGATGGTGAAATGAGAATTTATCCTTATGAGCATAAAAAGGAGTCAAGGGAAGAGGTAGATGAGCCTTATATTTTGAAATTTTCAATGCCTTCTAGGCAAGGTAACACTCCTCAGGCGAGAGCCAAAAACTACATGAGAATTTATTTAATTTTTTCCTCGCAAGAATTTATACCGCCCCAAGAGCATAATCATAAGCTTGAATCAAAACTTGGAGTTCAATTCATAATCTTGAGGTGGAGGCATAAAGTGATTCACGTCGTGCTGCGACGTTAAATCAGGTGCTTGTTGGGAGACAACCCGACTTTACTTCCTTTTTTATTATTTTTTATTTTTAATTGTATTTTTTTAGTATTATTTTTAGTTTTGTTGAAGTAGGAGCATAATAAGTAAATCCATTAGAAGGAAGCAAAATAAAGCAAGATGGCTGGAACTAAGTGTGGGATGCTCGCACAAAGGACCATACACGAGAGAAGTCTGAGTACCCCATGAGCTACTAATGCTATGGCCTTTGGCCTACCAGGGAGTTTTTTTTATCCTCTTATTATTTATGCTATGCATTAGGGACAATGCATAATTTTAAGTGTGAGGTGTGAAGACTTTTGGACAATTTCTTGTGCTATTTTATGTGTTAAAAAAATCAATTATTTTTTAGGTAGAAATTATCCCCCTTGGTTTTTTTTATGAACATAGTTCTTTTTGAAAGGATGACCCTTTGAATCGGATAGAAATTATTTTAGGTAAAATTTTCAAAAAATAATAATTAGGCTTTTCCCTATGATGGACTTCGTAAATAGTTTTCTTGAGGGTTTTAAATCTAAAGAAAAATACAAAAAAGATTTTTTTTTCAACTACTAATGGAATGGGAAGAACTTGAGTATCTATACATTTTGATATGTTTTATATTGGGGCTTAGAGTTGGAGCATTTGTGCTGAGTACTTTTTTCTTTATTCTTGTGAATATGCCTTAAGAGTATATGTGTTTTTTTACACTTAGGCTCGTCTATTGACTCATGTTGTTACTTCCTAGTGTTTGGATTATATGATGACCGTGCTAGTTGCTTTAACTTGAGAGTCGGGTATGAACCGTCCTGAGTGAGTCATGTGCATTGTGTGCGGTGAGAATTTGGTTATACTCTGTGCCATCCTTGTTAGTCTAGAACTTGCCCCTTGTGTGAGTCGAAGCGAAATGATTAAGTCTTGTGAGTTTAGGAAATGGTATAGGCGTTTCTTTGATTGACCCTTGAGCCTATTTGCCTACCAGTAATAACATTATTTGTAGTCAGTCTTTTTGGGCATGTAGACCTTTTTCTTTGGCACCCACATTACGAGCCAACACTTATTTTATTCTAAATAGTATCTTGTTCACTCTTTACCTCCGAAAGCACTTAAGTTGCTGAAAGATTAAAGAAAGAGATTGGGTAGCTTATGAGTGGAACCATAGAAAGGCCGGCAATGTGCTTTTATGGGTAAAAGTCTTACTAGCC